TCGAGAAGATTTACGGTTTCCCTCTTTTTCGAGCGGTTCTCAGTGGTCGGTCGTTCTTCCCGTTTGCTAGCGAAGGAAACAGCGGAAACGCCGGCGATTCGATCGAGCCTCGGTCAGGAGTCTTGCTCGCGTTCGGTCTGGTTATCTTCATCGTTTAGCTTGATCCTCTTCGCGGCCGTGGCGCCGTCAGCGTCAGCGTCAGCGTCCGAGTCGTCGCTGCTCGCCAGACGTTCGTCGCAGGCCTCTAGGCTCAGCAGAGAGTCACCCTGGCCAGAGTTTCCCTCAGCGGCGTCTCTCAAAAATGGACGTCCCTCACGTCGGTCGGCGTGCCCGCCTTCTCGTGCTCCAGGATCTTCTCCTGGCTGGTCATCTCGTCCCCCAGAGGCCTCTGCTGTCCCCCCGTCACCGCGCCGCCGGTCACCTGGTGGTGCCCGTTACCGCCGTCACTGCCCACGTGCGCTTGCGATACCATCTCCTCGATCTGCTCTAGGCAGCCCTGAAGATAGTCCTGCGAAGATGAAACAGGAGTTCGGTTAGCTTAGAGGATCCATGACACTTGGTTCTGTTATTTAAGCGTTCTTGAAACTTGCATGTTTTTCTTTTTGCTTATTCTTAGTTTAGATTCTTTTTAAATTTCGATACGGATGTTAGTGTAGGAGATGATTCTGGTTTGGAAATTTTAGGGTTGGCAGAAGGAGGTCTTTAACACGTTCCGTGCGAAATTTCGGTTATATCTTGTTTATAAAGTGCACTGATCTTTTAACTGATAGATTGAGTTACATTCGAGCTTTTGCTGACCTTTCAGATGTTTTGATATAATTTCTTTACGTTTTTGTTGTTTGGCGACGTGCACCGTTATCCTTTAATGGTACACGTGGCACGGAACGTGTTAATCGATGTCTTCGATGTTCTATTATATTTGAAGACAACTGTGTAGGAAATGTAATAATAGACAATATCTGCGAGAAAGTCCAAAGAGAAGGAGATTAAGGCATCAAGAGGAATGTCCAAGAAATCAAATAAGATCGCTAGAAATGAATCTTCGCAGAAACACTCGGCAAATAGCAAAAAGAGAGGATCAGTGGCGAAAGGTGTCAGGAAAGAGGAGCTGTCCGTCGATGAATCCCTCCGATTTCCCGCTGTAATCGAGATGAGTTCTTCTCGATGACGGGAGAGCCAACGAAGTCATTGAATAATTTCTTCGTTGACGGGGAGGGATGCGCGGGGGACGGACGGGGAGGGATCATTCGCGAATCCAGCCAAGACGTCGCGCAAAAAGTCCCGATGAGGAGCCGTAGCAGGTGTCGGGCACATGTTTAAGGGGAAAAAAGGGCGTGGAGGGCAGAGAGCAAGCGCAGACTATACAGACTATACATTCATAATGCGGCGAACGCGAATAAAGTGCACGCGTGAATGGCTCGGCATGGGGTCCATGGCCTGCGAGAGCGCAATATTTTCGCCAGCCGCATGTATTTAGAAGCAGGAAGCTCTTCTCCTCTCTTCCTCGGAACTCTGTCTGGCCACCTGCATTCTCATTCACGATCCCCGGGGCCCGTTGACGCGAGATTACCAGGCCAATTGGCTTCGTCCCGCGCGAAACGTATAATTGAATTCGCGGGATCGGCGAATCGGGCACGGAGTCACCTTTTTCTGCGGCAATTCTTCCGCGAACGGGGAGGAACAATCATGGAAATATAAAGGATACGACTCTATAAACCGACCGTCGCTTAATATCCACTCGGGTCCTCGATGAAGATTTTAAGATGAGTTCGATAAGTTCGGACGTTAATTTTTTAGTCGAAATTGAATATTGGGTTGGTTGGGAGTTCGAACTTTTTGTGTCGCGCGTGAGGCTTGTGTCGGGGTGTAGAAATACATATTGGGAATTGATGCTTTCAAAAGTGATAGAAAGTTGTTCGAGAAAGCAGGGAATGTTTTTATGCGAGATAGGCAATGACAGTGTTCTTTCTTGGAAGATGTTGGAAAACTTTGTTTGTAGCGTTCTTATTGCCATTAATCGGTGCGCATTGAAACATTAACGACCACCGAGGATTCACATTTATTCAGATACAGTCACTTTCGAAATATTTGATTCTTCTGCTTTTCTCTATCTGTAACTTCTTCAACGGGAAATTCTCAAACAACAGATCGTTACGAGACTAATATTTCAAAACAACTTTTCCTATTTTCATCTCTGTTTTAACATCAGAAATTTGCGATTAGCTTAATATTTTCTCCATTTCCACTGGCAATGAGTATTAGGAAAGCGAAAAATTAGCCGGTCGCGATCCTTTGCACTCAGTTTTTTACTAGAAATATTTTCTAATGAGGCAAAGACGATATTTTGTGAAACTAACTCGAAGAGAAATCACACGTACATCGAGGAACAAAGCAATTTTATTTCAATATTTCTCAAATTGATGCATTATACGAAGTATAATATTAACCCTTTGCACTCGGAAGCTTTTCACAAGAAACATTCGACGCTGTAAGATGAGACGTACAATAGATGACACTATTTGAAACGAACTAATGAGGAAATATACATCAATTAAGGAACAAACTATTTTATAGAAATATTTCATATATTGATGCACTATACAAAACTTGGTATTGTATACAACACTTTATATTTTTGTCATAACAAATCAAACGGTGACTGAGAGTCACTTGTCGAGTGCAAAGGATTAAATATCAAATTTTATAGTTTCACTGTATGAAATCAAATGGCGAGTAAAAAAGATTACTAATTATTTATGGAAAAGTCGTTCAGCAATTCCTTCAAGGCGATTTTACGTACTGAAAATAACAATGACCATACTTTTTTGAAAGAGAGTCGATACTCGAACCACCATCATGGAACTGTGAAGCATGGTGAAACTAACTTACGTAAAACGGGTGCGAATCAAGGAGCGATTAAACCTATTCCTTGACACCATTATCCGAGGTGGTAATTCTTTCGCGAGCGTCTGGTAATAATATCATGAGGACAAACCTGTTCGATAGCCGTGATGCGTGTAAGCTCGTCGAGGAGGCCAGCAAGCCCGTAACCGCTCTTCCCAGTCCAATCGAGACCATGGAGGGCAGCCGCGACGCTAGCGGCCGCGATCATGCTCGGCGTGTACATCGAGAATTTGTACTCTGTAACAAGAACAATTCGAAAACATTATTTTCCACGAAATTTCATTACCACGAAAACGGTAGAGTGATCGTTGCACAAGAAATTTCAATTTTCCCGAACAATTTTTATTTTCGAGGTGCGAGAACGATTAGTTCACAAAGAATTCGAACGTTTTAAACGTTTTCCGTTTTTAACACTGGAACTACCGAGGAGTAGAATTGATTATCCTGTATTTTCTTATAAAATATATAAAAATACATTTCTTGAGTGTTCAATTTCCTTATATTCTAGTTCGTATTTATCTAAATCAAATCATCGAGTAATCTCTCAGAAAATCATCTATGCCTTTTTCATAATTGCGTAAGAAGTAACACGAAATGAGCAATTTTGACCCATCCGGTAGTTCTAGTGTTAGGAGGGTCGTTATTTTGCAGGGACTTTGAATTTCTGTAGAATTTTGAATCTTTAAGATACAGGAGCGATTGTTTGACAAAAATCTGAGCGTTTAACTTTTAATGATTATAAACAGGAAATGTAACTAATACAAAATACTCCATGTTCATTACAATAACTATAAACTGTTGGATATTTTCAAAAATTTTTTAGAGGGGGATGAGTAAGATTTCTACGGTTCAACCCTCTTTGTCGAGATTTGTATATCAGGGTTGCACAGACTAAAGGGCAGGGTGAAATAAAAAAAAACCATAAACAGATGTTAAATAGATTCACTAGACAATAAGTCGTTTTATCACGTCTCCGAGCAACGAACTCGCGCCGCAATGATCTTTGCCCTTTGTTCAAGAGTTACGAGCAAATTGAAATTGCGTTTGCATCTCTCGAACCGTAAGCATTATTCTAGTCAAGCATAATTTCGAGAAACGAACAGCAATAGATGGATCCCCTTGAATCAGTGACCAAAGCGTTAAACCTTCGCCACGCATAAAACACCGTGTAACGAATAAATTACCACGACGCTCGTTCGACGCTTCTAGCAAACAAATTCATGAAGCGACGACCGACGCGTAACTATTACAATAACCGAAAAACCATTAGATCACAGAATTTACGATGCAGAAATAATTCGTGCCGCTGGCAACCAAAAAATAAACCCTTCAAACGCGGCACGAATTAATTGCGCATTGTAACTGTTCTAAAGCAAATAATTCGTTCCGCTCGGAACACTAATCTCCTGCCTACAGCCGGCACGGATTAACACGTTCGCTGTCAGCACTTATTTCGGTGACGGTCTCCTCAATTATAATATTTCCTTCGATCCAATACATCTTCTAAACAAAATATTAGAAAAATGAAACTGAAACGAGTTATTTAGTTCCTAAATATTAGGCTGGCTTGTAAGTTTTTTTCGTAGTCTAATTGTAATGTTTCGTTTGGCAGAAATAGTGGAAATATGAGACTGCGAGGCTTTTAGTGAAAGGAAAGAAGATAGGATCGGTATGATCGGAAGGTAGAACAGATCGGAGTTACGTAATAAGGCATAAAATGTGCTTTGACTATATCAATAAAATGAAAGGTACTTTTGTACAACTTAATATAATGACGTAGTTTATAATTTTCAATAACAATATCCATAGGATTAATTTCATTTTGTAAAATATAGGATCACGTTACAAATATGCGACGCTGGCAGCGAACTGGCAACTCTCCATCAGCTGCCGTTTCCACGTGCCCAGAAGAATATTTCCACAATTCGAACGCTAGAAAGCGTTAGATTCTCGGTAAGGAATCTGCCAAAATCCGCAGGTAGGTCCCGAAAAGGGTCCCAGACCGTAGGGACGAGATTTACGGCGTAGAGAACTCGCGGATATCGGAAAGAGCAAGAGGAGGAGAGGCAGGGGTCCAAAGGTGACCGACAGCGGGCACCCGCCGCGCCACGTTTAGCCGTTTCCCTTTTTGTTAGGAGTCCTAGCCGTGAAAGCTTTTGTCACCTTGGCCTCGAGTCTTCGCGAAACGGTCCGTCGGGTCGAGCAATTAGCTAGGCCCCTTAGAGGACTTGTCTTAGAGGCCGGGCAGCCTGGGCTAATAGCGGGGTCTTTAACGGTTCCCGGCCGAAAAACTGCGAGCCGAAACTTTCTAACGCCTTTGTTAGACGGTCCCCTCTCTATTCCTGGCCACGTGAACGTCCTCGCACAGCGGTTAATCGCTAAATCGTCACGCGATTCGAACAGACAGCTCGTGGAGCCGGGTGACCTGCTTTTAGGGTACGCTAGAACTGGCAGGATAGAGGATCTTTGAGATGTTAGATTCTCTAATGGGAAGTTTGGCTTGTAGTTTGTATTTGGAACAATAGTTGATAGAACGTTGTCAACTCTTGATGATTCTTTTTTTATTCTGATAATTGACAAATATTCGATGCTACTGAATGGGTGATTTATATGCTAAGGAAGAGTAGATAAATTGTTGTGACTGATTACTTCGCTACGTCAAGCTAATCTAAACATGAAGTTAATTTACAATAAAATTTTCGTTTCATCCAGTTTCAATGTTCACAAATCTTCATTTGTTACTGTAGCGATGAAATAGTGCAAATGTTTTCTTATTTGTTGCTGTGTAGATTTTTTATTATGCGAGCATTTTCTATTATGCGCAGAGGTAGAGTATACTGCGATAAAAGCGAAATCGTTTTCCCAAAATGGGAGCAACGGAAGAATGAATTTCAAAGAAGATTTTCTGGTTTATAATCTCCTCTGATCTAGAACCCTGCGGGTTCTACGTTCTGGGAGCGTGATTTCTTAAAACCAAAGATTCGCAGAAGCGTTCCTTTGAAATGGAAAAGAAGAACGCTGAAGAAAAAGGATAAGCTGACGGCAATGTTAAAGACTAGACCGAGGCAGCTAAGCAAAAAGGTGTAGTAAAATGAAACGAACAGAGGCGGAGAAATTAAAAAGAGCCAAAGAAAAATGGAACACGAGAAGAGGTGGCTAGAAGAAAAGGCCTGACAAGAGTAAAGCAAGTACCAAGAAAGCCCAAGAAAAGATGAAAAGGGAGGGATATCAAGATAGACTAATGAAGAATGGTATATAAAAACGAAAATAGCGAGGGTGAAGCAAGAACGGATCTTGAAACGGAAAGACGTCGAGGAAAAAGTCCGCCAAGAGAAGTGACCTTGAGCCTAAGCAAAGAATATATTCTCATTTGCTTAAATACTATAAAATAAAACTTTCTTATAAAATAAAATAGTTTGTCCTTCCTTTGTCCGTAATCTTCGTCTGTTCCTTAATTCAATTTATTTACTCAATTCAATCAAGATATTTAAAACTCAAATACGTTTTTCGCCAAAATACCAAAATCTCAACAATCTTAACACTGAAATTACAGAACAGTTAAATAGACTTTCTGAAATTCTTCTATGGAAACTCAAAGAATGCATCTATTAAGACTTCAATTAATTTACAATTCAACTAGCGTATTGCTAAATCAATTTCTTGGATCATTATTCAGGGAAAAATCTGTTATCTTTTTAATAATTACAGAAAGAGGAAATCAGGAATGGGTCGTTTTGACCTGTCTGGTAGTTCTAGCATTAAATGAAGTCACAAAAACATACACCGAAACAAACAAAAGTCTCAAGCACTAAAAATCCCCAGAGACCGCACACTTAACAAATCAAACAGTGGTAACAAAGGTCAAATAATTGATATCTCCCCATCGTTCTCGCAGGAACTCATCGCTCATCCATCATCCACGTAATAGAAACATCGCTGAACATTCATCAAACTCTCAGTGCCGAAAAAATCCAGCCAATTCGAAGATCAATTTAAAGAACAATCTCTTAACCCTTCGCGATCCAAAATATTCATAGTTATCTCCTCCGAAATTTCCGTAAACGTTGTCCATTTCAATTCCAATGAACATACTGCTTGTAATATACCCTAATTACAGAATTATATTATAAATAATTATAGTAAATATTGATTAAATACCTATCGAAAGAAAATTGAAAACCGAGCCCGAGCATAAAACAGTAACGGATTAAAGCTTGATGATCGATCGATCGCTCAATAGGGGTGGTCTTGCCGTACGTTTTTGCGCAATAATAATTCCCGACGCACGCAGGGGGAACGCACCTGCGAAACTCTCCGCAAAATTTAAGATCGAGGTTCGCAGAATTCCGCTCTTAATGGCTTTATTACGGCCGTCCGCTCTCTTCTCCCCCCTCTGCCCCTAAAAGCGAGTTGAATCGGGGCCCGGCTGGGTCCCGCGGGAGCACGGACAATTTCGGTCAGCCGTAGAAACCTGTTCCCCCTCGTCTTTCCATGAATGAATAGTCGGCGGCCGGGGAGTTCGCGAAAAATCCGGACAAAACGCGCGGCCCGGCGACTGGGCCCCGCGAATATACGGGGTGTAACGGTACGCGTGGTGTCCAAGTGGACACAGTTCTACGTTAAAAAGTGAACCGAGGAAAAGAATGAAACTTATCTAACCCTTATCGCTTTGAGAATATTATACAACGATTTTTAGCCAACTCCAAAGGCAATAATAATAAAACTGCAAAATTCTGGCAGTGATTATTGCCGGTTGGAGTGGAACGCTACCTTATGACGATATTAACACGTTGCCACGGTGGTTACCGATGACCGTGGCTTCCAAATTGCTGAAGAATAATTACAATAAAAAACTTGATTTTAAATAAACATATTCAGTAACATAAAGTAGCTAGATCATAATCGTAATATGACTACTGTAATACTAAATCATTAATAATTAAGATCGTTTGTCTTTGTTATTAAAGAATAAATATTATGTTATTAAAGAATACTATTGAATAGTATTCAAAATGCTAGAAATTCTCGTGTCAACGTATTAATATATATTTGGCGTGCGGTTTACCTATTGTTTTGGTTATATCAGAATATCACACATACGACATTCATGTAAAATAGTTTACCTGCTTTATGTACTGTTTCAAATATTTAAAAATTATATGAATTATCACGTGAAATAATTGCAAGAAAGGCACGGTAAGGGTTAAATATGACCGTGGTCGCGAATGTATTAAGCT